CAGGATTGCCTCCTGGAGGCACCTAACAACCCTGTGGGGTAGGACAGGCTAGAAGAAGGAGGGACATCCGACCCTGTTTCTCTTTCTGGCCAGCTCTTTCTCAGTCCCATCTTCACAACAACCCAGTGAGGCAGACCAGGCAAAGGGGGGTCTTGGGAGAATTTGAACCCAGACGTAGCCAGTGCTCCAGGCAGAGTGCCCTGCCTTTCCAGAGGACCTGTGAGAGTGAGCTCCCTGGTCTTTGGCAGCCCTGCCTGTTTGTAGAGGTCTGCTTAATGGCTGCTGGGAGAATTTGACTGCCTCTCCTGGAGGGCTTGAAGGGGAGGAAGTGGGCGGGAAGGCTCTGGGTGGGTGAAATGAGGTTACCAGGGTGGTGGAGGAGGTGCCTTTATTTATTTATTTATTTATTCAATTTATATGCCGCCCACACTACCCAGAGGTCCTTTGAATTTCAAGTTTTCCTGTCTCTCAGGGTTGGGTGCTTTGCAAGGAAAGGTGGTGGAAGGAGCCTTTGTGCACATGTTCCGCACCCAAGCCCAGTCACGTTTCCCATTTCCTTCCACAGACCCTGACGTTCACTGGCAAGTGTTGCTTGACATGTTTGTATGGCTCCGTGGAGGTGTTGGGGTTCACCATCACTCCCGACCAGCCCCCCTACCACCTCTTTTCCCCCCATACCCACTGTGCCCTTACCATGAAAGCCATCGCCTACAAGGAGCCAGAGAAACCGGAGAAGGAGATGAAGAGGGAGGCCAGGTCCATCCTTCGAGCACACCACGTACCCCAAGGTGGGTCAGACCTTGCCATCTCTGTGGCTCCTGAGGGATCTGAGAGGAAGTCAGGATGCTTTGTGCTGTTGCCACCTTCTGGGGACTGAGTTATGCCAGGGGAAATATTTTGCAGATACAGTAGCCCGTGTGGCTACACAGGGTGCATATGCACACCCAAGCACATCTGGAGAGAGTGCAAAGCTGGCTGTCTTCCAATCTCCGGCTGGGCATGCAGTGGCTCTCCTCTGTAGCCCTGGGCTGGACCTCTGTCTGCCAGGGGTTTCTGAGATTTCCACTTCACTCTAGCCAAATCCCACCAACTCCCAGGAGAGTTGTGGGGGTGCGGGATTATGTGACAGCTTTGGAAGGTGTGTGTTATAGGGTCCAGAAGTCTTAACTGTCAGCTGAGCTTATGTATGTATGCTTTTATTACCTGATGTTAGCCGCCTAGAGTGGTCCTGAGTTGGCTAGATAGGCGGGATATAAGTAAAATAAATAAATAAATAAATAAATAAATAAATAA